AAGGACCACACTGTCCAGGTTCCACAGAAACACTCATTGTTGAGATAGTATGGTCCGTAATATCTTAAGTATTGCTCCTGATACCATCGTCATTTTTCCTGTACAAATAGAACTTTTCAAGACCTTCAAAACGATCATAGATTGTGAGCTAAAATATGCTGCGCTCGAAAATTTCCAAGGACTACATTGGCCACGTTCTACAGGAAAGCTCATTGTTGGGATATTATGGTCCATACAATCTTGAGTATCGCTCCTGATACCACCGTCGTTTTTTCTGTGCAGATAGAACTTTTCAAGACCTTCAAAACGATCACAACTTGTGAAGTCAAATATGCTGCGCTCGAAAATTTGCAAGGATGACACTGTTCAGGTTCTACAGAAAACTCATTGTTGGGATAGTATGGTCCACACAATCTTGAGTATCGCTTCTGATGCCACCATCATTTTTTGTGTGTAGATAGAACTTTTCAAGACCTTCAAAACGATTACAAATTGTTAACTAAAATATGCTGCGCTCGAAAATTTCCAAGGACTACACTGTCCAGGTTTTACAGGAAAACTCATTGTTGGGATAGTATCGTCCGTATGATCTTAAGTATTTCTCCTGATACCATCATCATTTTTTCTGTGTAGATAGAACTTTTCGAGACCTTCAAAACGATCACAAATTGTGATGTCAAATATGCCGCGTTCGAAAATTTCCAAGGACTACATTGGCCAGGTCCCAGAGGTCCAACCAGGCCGTGTTTTTCAGGCCTGTACGGCCTGTCAAGGCCTGGTATGTTTTTCAAGCGTATACGATAATGATAAAATACTGAAAATGAGATGTGCAAACAGGGCACTAACACTACTGCAGAACACGAACCTGACCTGCATGTTATTGGCAACACCCCTGATTTTCAGATCGATGAAAGTCACAGGCTCACGCAATTATGGGCCTGTAGGCNATGGTAGATTTCACAGTATAATTTTGATATTCAGACAGTCTAGGATGATTGATTTTTATGATTCACTTTTTGAAGTACACATAACTCTCGGATTTAAATCCGAAGTTTCCGCATTTATTTAATATATTATTGAAATTGTATCACTCATATTTGCACCTGACATCTACCTTTTAACTATTCATTGATTTCTCCTTCAGGTTTTATCTATTGTTCTTTACATGAAAAAGTTTTAGTTACTATTCTATAACAAGAGAACTTGTTTGTTTTTTTTCATGATGAATCTTAAAGCATAACATTTTTTTATTCTCGTTTGATACAGCACACTGATTTATTTCTGTTTTGTTCGATTTGATCTCTTCTTCTTATGATTGTGAGAAACTATTTGAACACACTCAAAAATCTACAATAGAAAAAATTATTCAAAACTAGAGTAGCAAATATAAAGTAATAGATTTCTATGATGAATAAATAATTAAAGAATAACTTACTTTTCAATGTTTAAAATAATTTACTTTTGAATTTAAAAAATCCTAATAATATGTCAAATTCTTCTGAAGAATTATGTCCATATTATCATTTAATATTTGAAGATTGGAAGGTATCTATGGAACGACATAATTCTCATTTGAAAAATACAATTGAATCAAATTGACCTCAACATAAAACAATCTTAGAATTATCTTGTGGAATAGGTACACAAACTATTGGTTTATCTCAAAATGGTTATCAATTAACTGCTTCTGATATTTCTGTTAATGAAATCGAACGAACAAAACAAAAAGAAGCTCAACAACGTGGACAAACAAATATTTCATTTTCTGCTTTGTGATATGAGAACAGCTTTTATACAGCATAGTGGTCATTTTGATAGAGTTATATCATGTGATAATTCAATTCCTCATCTTCTTACTGATGAAGATATTTTATTGGCACTTAAACAAATGTATTCTTGTTTATGACCACATGGTGGTAAAAATAGTGTTAAATCTTCTGGAAAAGTAAAAATTGAAAATTGAAAATGATATATTCTTTTACAAGTATAGGATTTTGATGAGTAAAATTCTCAACATCATGATTTTACTCTATATAATGCGTTCACGTTATTATGCAATTAGTTCTGAAAAATGAATCAAATTGATGCATGATGCTGGATTTGAAAATGTTGTTCGACTTGATGAATGCTTTTATCAACCAGTATTTATTGGTACTCGACCATTTACTTGACATTTTAAAGAGATGTTTCATGAAAAAATCAGATATTACGAAAATATAGGGGTCAACTGATTTCTGATTTGATCCCCTAGGAATTTTAGGTCTTATCTACTATAGATGAATATCGAATATTATGATCTAAAAATTTATTTCTGATTTGCTAGAGCTGTCCGACTACAGATACTCTCAAAAATAGCACAAGTGTGAAAAGTTGACCTATACCTTTTATGAAATTTTTCAGTCGCAAACTTTTTCACTATTCAAATTAAGACATACCAATCGATAGAGTTTGACTTACTTTACAAAACTACATATGTGGCATTTCTCTATAATCTCAATTTAGAATCGTAAAATTCAAACCATTTTTTCAGTATTTCATTCCGTATCAGATTGTATATTAGACATTGTTTCAAAATATTCGAGCGCTGAAAAATTGTCCAACCTAAATATTAGTCGCTGACACCATATTTTACCTCATTTCAGTGCAAAGTTGTACTCATTTTTAAATTTTTTTTCCAAAAAATATTTGATATTTACAATTAAATAGCTGTCGAAGAAATATCATGGGATTTTTAGAATATATGTTTCTGACCTTTTCGATTATTTAAAGAATGAATAGTCGTTTATTAATTTTACGTAGATAATAAATACTATAATTTGAACCAGAAAACAAAGGATAAATGCATAAACTTACTCAACTTTTAATTCTTTTATTGCATATACTAAACTAGTGAAAGAAAATGTTGCTAATAATACGTAAAGTATTCCTGTCAAAGGCTACACTATTGATGGAGATACTTTAGCAGGCTCGTTACTGTTTACTTCAACTGTTTTCTCTAATAGTGTACTGTTAAATTGTTCTTTGTTATTAAATTTTCAACGCAATTTTATTTAATTAATATACTAAAAATAACATTCTTGTTGTATCCATAGAAAAGTATGAGCCTGTAGTCTGACAATGCAATGAATTTAATTTCTACCATGTTCATATCTAAAAAGAAAATCTTCACGAAAAATATATTCCGGTAATGTTGTAGAGGACTAGAGTCTCTCTCTATCCAACAAGATTAAAACTCAAATTCGAACAAAATTTTAAGTTATTTGGAAAAAGAAAATACAAGTGAGACATATTCTATGAATTATTCATCATTTTTCAAATATTCCTCAAATACTAAAAAAGCCTCTAAGATTTCTCTGAACGGCTGTTCATGCATTCATATGGATCCTACACATCTAAAAATCAGAGTTAATAAATAAATCTATGCAATAATTCTAGCTAATTTTATCAAGATTTTGAATTTTATTCAAAGATCAGTTGTAAAATAAATCGATTAACATGTTAATGAACGATAGAAATCAAGAATGATACAGAAGAATGAAATCATCAAATCATGATTAGTCATGGAAATGCATTAGCTTCACACAGTGGCGTTTAAGTGATGTATTCATTTGGTTACTCGTGCTTCTATTAAACCACATGTACATTGTAACTGCAGAATGTGACACTGCACAATAATGATCTGGATTCGGCTCAACTTGAATAGTAGCTTTTCTTCCACTTTCGGCGAGCCATTCAACGATACCGTTCCAGAATCCATGTCTCTCAGGTACGTTAAATGTGACAAATGATAAATGTTCTCCTCTCTCCAATATCATTTTTGCCGTTTCGAGATAATAAAGACGAGCTTCAAGACGTTTGATATGGAAAGATAATTTTGAAATGATATCATTAAGAATTAAAATTCCCATAGACGCAAAATCACATTCTATTTCAATTGTACGAAGATTCAATGCTTGATTGAATAGAATTTTTGCACCAGCTTCCAAACTTAAAATATTCAACTGAGACCGAAACATCAATTTCAATATGTCGAGTCTAGATAGATTAACAATGGTTGAAAGATATTTAATTAAATCAGCAGACTCTATTTGATTGATTATGAGGCTAAGTTTTGTTACATTGGGAAAGATATACTTTTGTGTTGAACTAATCTAAAGCAAAAAAATGCAAAATACTTTAATATATTCAAATAGGATATATGAAGCATTTCGAATGAGAAAAGTAATAAAAATAATAGTCATCTCAGCGAACAATACATTTGAATGGAAAAAAAAACTAAATTATGGATAGTCTACATTGAGTTGAAGAATTTAAGAGATTTAGATGTGAAGCCTTTCTTTTTTGTATAATATAGTGTTTTGTAATGTCATTTATTGAATACTTTTTGCAAGGAAACCCTTTTGTCTTATTTTTCGAAACATGCATAGAAAAAT